GCTTTGTCCCATGGCTCAAACTGCAAGGGGTCGTGGGCATGGCGAGCTCTCTGGATGACAGCTGGCAGACCCCACTGAAGCTGGCACCGTCTCTGCAGCAGGTGCCATTCCAAGATTTTACATTCAGCTGGAATCAGAAATGGGACATTAATAAGAGCTTGTTGCTGTTCAGCTGGAAACACACAATTTGGAGAAGGTGGAGAAGAAGGCAAATTTATCTCAGGTGGTGTTTTGGGGAGCAAGGGATGGAAAGAGAGTCCCTTGAATGGAAGAGAATACTTCAGTGGGGGCTTGGATACATTCTTGTTCTTGGAGAGGCTTTCAGAACTCAAGAAAGTGGCAGCCAGGGACTCACTGTGCAGAGAGGAGAGGCCACAGAATAGCTGCCTGTATTTATGGGGCAGATTGTTCCCTGAGTCCTTAGCCTGTCCTTCAGGAAGTGCATAGAAGCCACCCAGGACTTTCGGGGCAGGAGAAGGTAAGGATAGACCCATAGAATTTGATATTTGCTAGCAGTGGTGTCTCTCCTCTGAGTCCATAACAGACCATTCTAAAACCCAGAAGTTCTGGTTGGGTTTCCCGGTCATATATGAACACCAGGTTTGGTGGGCAGTGGTCCCAAGTTCATGAACACAGACCTGAGAAGTATTATTCAGGATGAAAGAAACTGGTTCATTATTTTCAGTCTGGTAATACATTGGTGGGTTTGGCATAAGTTGTCTCAGAGAGTCTTCCACACGTCTAGGGAGCCCCCACCTCTGGAAATGCATCCATTTTTTTACATGTACCTCAAGAAGTCTCAGGACATCAGGACTGAGGAATGGGAAGTGAACATGTGGGACCATGTGCAAGGCCACTGAACGTTCCAACTTAGTAATCTCTGGGTTCAAGTACATAAAAGAGATCTGCTGAGAGTTCACAGACTGCTGGTTTCTGTTCCCCTGAACAAAGTTAAGGTTGCTCTGCATCATTTCCTGTTTATTCACTGTAACTATAGGCTCTTCAAACCTTAATGAAGCCCCTGTAGTCTCTGGGCCCATGGGCAGATGTGCCAGTTGAAATCCTTGCCCTTGTTGGATATGATCAGCCCTGTATTCTTGGACACTAATTGCACTGGTTGATTGGATTAAGTGTTCTGTCAGTTGTGTTAATGTTAGGGGTGCAGATGCCAGTGAAAGATCCTTAGGCTGCTGAGAGTGAAGCTCCAGATTCTGCTCAAAAGACACAGTTGACATGGAGAACATCTCCAAGCAAGAGCCTTGTGATGGCTCTGATAAAGTAGGGGAGATTTGGTTCTTCTCATCTTCTAACAATTGCTGAATTTCCAGAGCCACTGAATTGCAGATTTGGCAGGAGGCATCTGCACACAGGAGCTGCCTCACATTTTCCTCCTGGGGAAGCCAGTGCTTTCTGGGAAGGGATACATGATAACTGTTAATGATGAGGTACATCTGCCTCCTTGGAAGAGTGCGGTCTGGAGGTTGCTACTGACCACCCCAATCCTACAAGTTCTGAACTTACACTGAAAAATGAAGTCTTTGAGGAAACTCTTTCTGAGAACTATGGGATATCCCTGCTATAGGAATCAGCATCTATTGGGAATCAGTCTCATTCTGAGGAGAGGATAAGATGATAGGTTTCCCTGTATGAGGGCTTCCCAGGTTGTGTCCCCCCTGAAGCTAGACCAGAAAGAATCTCTGCAGAATGCAGACAAACACAGGACTCTTTCCTTGAAAGTCTATAGCTGTTAAAAGAATATGGTAATGATGACTTCATGCAAAATCCATTCCAAGTAGATAACTTGTCCCATGGCTGAGTGAAACTCCAGGTGATGTCTTTTTAAAATTATGCACAGATGAAATCTTGAATTGTAGAACTTATGTGACCCTAGCACAGAGCAGAATTGGGTGATTCTTCCCTCTTGAGATGTCTGACCTGCCTTCTGTCCCTGGCAACCCTTTTAGCCATTGAGCCAGCCTCTACCATGAATGTCTCCTTCCCATCCATTATCCCTCTCCTCATCCTAGCCTCAGGCAAGCCAAGAAATCATCACAGTACAGGCTAGGAATTGAGAGACTATAAAGAACACAAAAGATCACCTTTTCATGACAGAGATCAGCTCCCATGGCTTCTCAGATTCTTCTTGGGAACATCTCCTGGCTGAGAAATCAGGACACAGTTTATGACATGTGAGTGCTCAGGAATAGTCTCTTGGAAGCTGAAGACCTTTACTCCCAGTAAGAGGGAACTGGAAAACCCAACTGTCAATATTCTAAGAGACATCTGGGTACACTCTAATCATTCCTGACTTGTTTGCTTTCTTGTACCTATTCTCATCTGGTTTTCACATCCACACTGTGAGGGAGTTTATGGAGAATAAGACTGAGAGATGAAATGACTTATACAGGATTTAAAAACTAGTAAATGATAGAATAAAGTACATCTACCCTATTTGCTCAATTCTTTATCTTCAGGGGAATCAGATAGGTAATTTGGGCACATTCCCATGTTCTGATTTCCCACCCACCCAAGTCCTCTATGAAGGCTGTGAATTGGGAGAATTGGAGCTTCCAAGAGTTAGAGCACTTGGATCCTGGGACCAGATGTCATAGAGGGGCAGAAACTATAGAAAGTGATTCAACAGAGGAAAGGAGTTAGAAAAGAGATTGGAACTTTACCTCTTGATAGTGCATTTCTATCCCTTTGCCTGATTTTTCGGTGACGCTTAAAGACAAAAATATTAGGATGTGAATCTGGGATGCCATTTTCTTTTTCATATTCAGAATGAGACAGAGCTCACATTTCCTACCGCCCCCCCCCTTTTTTTGGTACTGGGATTGAACTCAGGACTTTGTGCTTGTGAGGCAGGTGGTGGCACTGAGCTAAATCCCCGGCCCTCCCACTCCCTTTTTATGTATATTTATATTTTAATTATATTCCCACTTTTAAAAAATTTACTTCACTTTTTTTTTTAAACCAACACTTCCCTTCTCTTCTTATTTGCAATTCATCTCAAGGCTTTTAAAATCTCTATACCTCCCATCCAGTTACCAGGGGAAGTTTTGCTGAAGACCAAAGATGATACAAGAGAAAGAATGGAACACACATGAGGAGGTATGATTCTAACAGTCACAGGACTTCATCTTATAAATGCCTTCAAGGACTGTAAACCAGAAAATTATCTCATATTGGGAGGTCTTCTGAGATCCAGTGAAATAGATCCCATATCCAGGTCTTTACTCAAGTCAAACAGACAGGTTATTGGTTTTTCAACCACAGTATCCTACAGGGAAGGACTGGTAAGGAATTACTTCTTGCCTCCAAGAATAAAAGGGCTACATAAAAGTACATGAAGACATGGTATTAAAATTGACAGGGAAGGACAGTGAAATCATAAAGAGGAACCCTGGAGCTTGAAGATGTCCTACTTAAGGCTTAATCTAATTTAATTGTGATCACAATGTTTCCCTACCTGGCAGCAGCTCCTTTTATATTCAAATCTCAATCCATGGTAAGTCCAGATCACTTGCCAAATAATTAGGAAAATGATGAAGATTAATCCATAGGTATATAAGAAGTATACTAAGTCCCACAGAACAAATATAGAGGTCAACATGGTCTAAACCTCATTAGCCTGAGGAGCCCAACTATCCCTACATGTAGGCATTCAGAGTTCTAGTGACTAATGACTCCAAGTGCTAGGCCTTGTCATGTCTGCCTCACAGAGAACAGAACCAGAATACCAGACTGCATTACAAAGTTCTTTGTTTCCAAAGAAAAGTGTATGTGGTGATGCAGTCTGTAGATGAGTATCTTAGTTACTTTCTTGTCACTGGGACACAATGGCTGATATCCACAACTTAAAGAAGGAAGGTTTATTTTGGCTCACAGTTTGTAGAAGTTTCAGTCCATAGTTGGCTGGCTCCAAGGCAGGGTGGCTTGGCAGAGGAGGAACTGCTCATGACATGGTGGCAGGAAGCAGAGAGGGATCAAGGGAGGTGGAAAAGACACGTCCCCAGTTACCCACTTCCTCCAATCAGGCTTCACCTGCCAAATCATGTTTAGCTATAAACTCACCAGTGGACTAATCCACTGATAAGTATCACACCCATGATCTAATCATCTCCCCAAAGCCCTACTTATTAGCGCATGAGGCTTCAGGAGGATATCTAGATATGAACTATAACAATGAGGGTCATCTTTAAAAGTTACACAGCCAGGATCTATTTGCCACACTCAGTAGAAGCATCTATTTCCCCCTTTCTCATCACTCTCCCCTTCCCACACCAGCCTGTTAGCTCAGTTCTCTTCTTTACCTGTCCTGAGAAAACTGAATGCTTTGGCACACAGCGCACCTTGTGAGAAAGAGTGGCTGGGACAGAAGAATCTGCACCAACTCCCCAGCTCTTTTTTGGAAATATATCTGAGAAACATACAGGGTTTAGGGAGGTTAGAGTGTGGTTATAGCTTGGGAATGCAGAGCTTGGATGTTTCAGACAATGAATGAAAGAAAGGAAGACCATGGCTATGTAGCAGGGAAGGGCCTAGGTGGCTCTGTGTGTGTGTACGTGTGTGTGTGCATGTGCATGTGTGTGTGTGTTACTTGGGATTAAACCCAGGACCTTTGCACTAAGTTACATCTCCAGCATTTTTTGAGGCAGGGTCTTTCTTAGTCAATAAATTGCCCTTGCAGGGCTTGAACTTATAATTCTTTTGTCTTAGCCTTTCTCAGTGCTGAGGATTACTTGTGTGCGCCACCAAGCCTGACTCATATCTTTTTTTTTCATTAATTTTATTGGTACATTTTAGGTGTAAAATATGCTGACATTCATTATTGGGAATTTGTACCTTTATATAATATATCTTGCTTCTTATTTTTTCCCCCTTCCCCTGCCCTCTGTTCAACCCCTCCACCCCTCTCTATTTACAAAGACTTTGTTTTCATTTTTTCCTTTTCTCATATTTGTTCCTTTCCCTTCTTTCCTTTCCCCTACCCCTGCCACTTCCCCTTCCCCTTTGGACCTTTTCTTCCTATTTCACATTATCTATTATACCTTTTAGTCCTTATTTACACTTTCAGTTTCTCACACTAGAGAAGCTATTTG